CAGGTCGCGCCTGGGCCAAGCCGCCAGCTCGTGTCGGGGCTAGGTCGTGCCTGGGCCAGGCTGTCAGCTCGTGCCAGGGCCAGGTCGCACTAGGGCCAGGCTTCCATCTCGTGCCAGGGCCAGGTCACGCCAAGGCCAGGCTACCAGCTCGTGCCAGGGTCAGGTCGCACCAGGGCCAGGCTGTCAGGCCGCGCCTGTGCCAAGCTACGCCTAGTGGGACACCATCAACTTAGCAAAGGCAAGTTGTTTCCAAAGTGGTCCTGGGTGTCACCTAGTTGTTCTGAGGTGCCAGGCTACATGAGGGTCCTGCCTGTAGCGAGTTGCTTGTGGCAAGCTGCCTAGTGGCGAGCTGCCTGTGGCGAGCTGCCTACTTGTCAAGAGGCTGCACTTAGTTGGCATGAGGTGTCAGGTGTCATAATGTCATTAGAGGGCCAAATCTGCCCTCATCATTTGCCCCCCACTCCCGAGCTGAAAGTAACTCGGCGAAGGGAGTAGATTTCTCCTTTTGGCCCGTAAGTCGACGAGCTCGTAAACGCTGATTCAGTTTCTTAGGCTCTGGGAGCTGCTTGGAAGCGAGCTGCCCGTAAGGTGCTGAGGTCTCTTCCAGTTCGGTACTGTAGCCCTTAGGCTCTGGGAGCGACTTGTGGTCCACTCCTGGACTTTGCCCATTCCGAAGAGGTGATTGGGTCTTATGTAGTATTGTGGCCCTTAGGCTTTGGGAGCGACTTATAGTCCACTCCTGAACTTTGCCCATGCCGAAGAGGCAACTGGGTCTTGAGTAGTATTGACCAGGTGTCGAGTTGCCTGTGAGGTGTCGGGCTGCCTGTGAGGTGCTGACGAGCTGCCTGTGAGGTGTCGGGCTGCCTATGAGGTGCTGGCGAGCTACTTGTGAGGTGTCGGGCTGCCTGTGAGGTGATGACGAGCTGCCTGTGAGGTGCTAGGCTGACCAGGTGTCGAGCTGCCTGTGAGGTGTTGGGCTGACCAGGTGTCGAGTTGCCTGTGAGGTGTCGGGTTGCATGTGAGGTGCTAACGAGCTGCCTGTGAGGTATCGGGCTACCTGTGAGGTGATGGGCTGACCTGGTGCCGATATGCCTGTGAGGCGTCGGGGTCTCTGCCAGTTCAGTACTGTAGCCCTTAGGCTCTGGGGGCAACTTTTAGTCCACTTTTGTTGATTTTGCCCATGCCGACGAGGCAGCTGGGTCATAAGCAGAGTTATGGCCCTTAGGCTTTGGAGCGACTTATGGTCCACTCCTGGACTTCGCCCATGCCGACGAGGCGATTGGGTCTTAAGCGATGAGGAAGTCTTTTATCAGTTCGTTAGTCCGCGCCTGGGCCAGGCCGCCAGGTCGCGTTAGGTCGGAGCATGTGCCAGGTTGCTAGGCTGCGTCAGGCCGTGCCAGGCCGCCAGGTGGGCGTCTTAGAGCTATGAAGCGAGAGCTTCAATTCCTTTGAGTTCATAAAAAACAGAAACTATAAAGTGAGAGCTTCAGTTTCAAAAAAAGGTGAGGACTTAGCTTTCTGGGAGAAGAGGACTTAGAGGTTTTGTAGCGTGTTCCCACAGACGGTGCCAAATGATGTAACTATTTCTAGTCACGTATCATTTTTTCGTGATGTGTCAATTTTTTGGCTGAGTACCTCGTCATCTCATCTGCTCCCAAGTGGCTTGTGACTCAGAGGTTGAAGTGGAGCTCCCTGGTGGCGAACTGCCTGGTGGTGAGCTACCTGGTGGTGAACTACCTTGATGAGCTGCTTGGAGGTGAGTTACCTTGATGAGCTGCCTGGTGGTGAGCTACCTTAATGAGCTACCTTGTGGTGAGCTACCATGATGAGCTGCCTGGTAGTGAGCTACCTTGATGAGCTACTTGGAGGTGAGCTACCTTGATGCCGAGCTCCCTGGTGGTGAGCTTCCTTGATGAGCTTTGTTGCTCTTTTAGAGGCCTACAAGGAACCAAATGTTAGAGAACCCAGGGTGGCTTACCCGGCGGGGACACTCCGATGGCTAAGTTAGCATAGTATAGTAGTAGAGAGCTTGAAGATGATATAAGAGAATGACAAAGCTAGAGCAGAGATTACCCATCCTCTCTTTTCGCATCCTCCCTTTGCCCCTGGGGGGTGAGGTCTTTATATACTGGAGTCCTCGTGGGTTAGGTGGAGCAGTTCCTGGATT